TTATTTGTGATTTATAGTTGATTAAATGTGTTGAATTGTAGTTTATCGGAAAGGTTCTGTGTTTTTATTATTTAATTGCTAAAATCAGAAGTGGGATAGAGCTTACACCACAATAAGCTTTTGAGTGGCATGGTGAAACGTGGAGGATGCATTGGAATAAGATAAGTACAAGTTTCTAATTAGGTAAACAAATTGAAACTATTGGTTGATGTTTGTGGCTTTGGAAAAGTATGAAAAGTTAATAGTTCAGTTAATCAGTTGAGTATATTAAAGTAAATTTTTAAAGAAAATGAGTCACGGCGTCATGTCGCAAAACTAGTTTTGTTTATTAGTCATTGTCTACTTAAGTTTTGGTATGTATTGCAGAAATATAAAAAAAATGATGATAAAAATATTAATTATAATTAGTTAATGTAGATATCAGAATACGAATGGCACGTGTTATAAATGAATGTGTTGAAAGCATGGACGCTTTGCACTGTGAGTAATGTGTGAGTGCTGTTAGTAATGTAATAATTTAGTAATGTTTTAGTAATATTTAGGTGTTGAAAGCATGGACGCTTTGCACTGTTGTAGTATTTGAGTGTTGAAAGCATGAACGCTTTGCACTGTTGTAGTATTTGAGTGTTGAAAGCATGGACGCTTTGCACTGTTGTAGAGTGTTGAAAGCATGGACGCTTTGCACTGTTGTAGTATTTGAGTGTTGAAAGCATGGACGCTTTGCACTGTTGTAGCGTGTTGAAAGCATTGACGCTTTGCATTGTTGTAGTATTTGAGTGTTGAAAGCATAGACGCTTTGCACTGTTGTAGAGTGTTGAAAGCATGGACGCTTTGCACTGTTGTAGTATTTGTGTGTTGAAAGCATGGACGCTTTGCACTGTTGTAGAGTGTTGAAAGCATGGACGCTTTGCACTGTTGTAGAGTGTTGAAAGCATGGACGCTTTGTTCTGTAGTAGAGTGTTGAAAGCATGGACGCTTGGCACTGTTGTAGTATTTGAGTGTTGAAAGCCTGGACGCTTTGCACTGTTGTAGAGTGTTGAAAGCCTGGACGCTTTGCACTGTTGTAGCGTGTTGAAAGCATTGACGCTTTGCACTGTTGTAGTATTTGAGTGTTGAAAGCATAGACGCTTTGCACTGTTTTAGAGTGTTGAAAGCATGGACGCTTTGCACTGATGTAGTATTTGAGTGTTGAAAGCATGGACGCTTTGCACTGTTGTAGAGTGTTGAAAGCATGGACGCTTTGTACTGTTGTAGAGTGTTGAAAGCATGGACGCTTTGCTCTGTGGTAGAGTGTTGAAAGCATGGACGATTTGCACTGTTGTAGTATTTGAGTGTTGAAAGCATGGACGCTTTGCACTGTTGTAGAGTGTTGCAAGCATGGACGCTTTGTACTGTTGTAGTATTTGAGTGTTGAAAGCATGGACGCTTTGCACTGTTGTAGAGTGTTGAAAGCATGGACGCTTTGCACTGATGTAGTATTTGAGTGTTGAAAGCATGGACGCTTTGCACTGTGGTAGAGTGTTGAAAGCATGGACGCTTTGCACTGTTGTAGTATTTGAGTGTTGAAAGCATGGACGCTTTGCACTGTTGTAGAGTGTTGAAAGCATGGACGCTTTGCACTGTTGTAGTATTTGAGTGTTGAAAGCATGGACGCTTTGCACTGTTGTAGTATTTGAGTGTTGAAAGCATGGACGCTTTGCACTGTTGTAGAGTGTTGAAAGCGTGGACGCTTTGCACTGTTGTAATATTTGAGTGTTGAAAGCATGGACGCTTTGCACTGTTGTAGAGTGTTGAAAGCATGCACTCTTTGCACTGTGGTGGAGTGTCGAAAGCATGGACGCTTTGCACCGTGGCAGAGTGTTGAAAGCATGCACTCTTTGCACTGTGATGGAGTGTCGAAAGCATGGACGCTTTGCACTGTGGTAGAGTGTTGAAAGCATGGACGCTTTGCACTGTTGTAGAGTGTTGAAAGCATGGACGCTTTGCACTGATGTAGTATTTGAGTGTTGAAAGCATGGACGCTTTGCACTGTTGTAGAGTGTTGAAAGCATGGACGCTTTGCACTGATGTAGTATTTGAGTGTTGAAAGCATGGACGCTTTGCACTGTGGTATAGTGTTGAAAATATGGACGGTTTGCACTGTTGTAGAGTGTTGAAAGCATGGACGCTTTGCACTGTGGTAGTATTTGAGTGTTGAAAGCATTGACGCTTTGCATTGTTGTAGTATTTGAGTGTTGAAAGCATGGACGCTTTGCACTGTTGTTATATTTGACTGTTGATAGAATGGACGCTTTGCACTGTTGTTTAAATGTTGAAGTAACATGTAACATATATAAGTATGTAACATATAAGATTGAAAAAAAAATATTTCTGAGAATGTAATAAATGAGTATTGAAAGTCTGGAAGGTTATGAGTAAATTGATTAGCTAATAGAGTAGTAGCTGGATTCGTTATAAAGAAACTCTCTAATTAAGATACCAATTCCTATAAGAACAACTGACTACTCAGAATATCACCTTTGGTGGATAGCAATGAAGAATTCCTTCCTGATATTCAATAGCCGATTCCGAATAGAATGACTTCGAGAGCGAAGTCCGTGTCAGAATTGGCCGTGTTAGAAATATGATTATATAAACAAAATTGATTTATTTTTTGGGAAGATAAGCACGGACCGCTGTCGGTCGCGCCAGTGTGATGAGACACTTCAGCACAGAATACATTAAAATACGCAACCAACCGTCATTGAACCGTCCAATCAGATCAAAGGAGTAATCGTTGTAGATCGTGCGTTATCGATGATGTTCGGTACCTGGAGAAAATTGACAATTGACAAGAGAATTAATTGTTTATTATTTATTATTTTTGACTTTTTAGTTCGTTTAATTTAATAATTACTAAAACCAGTAGTTTGAAAGATATATTTAAAAATAAAAGATAAAAATCCAAAAAATTAATTATCTATTAACGTGGATTTGGACGACAATAGGTAAGAACACTAAATTTATTTCTATATTCGATATAAACTTGTTTATTAGGTTTTTAGTTTGTGATGTTTCATGTGATGATCATTTTCATGTTCATCGTCTTTGAATTGACATGAGGATATCTATGGAAAAGTAACTAATCTGAAAGTAAGCCAACATATCGTTTGTCCTTTGTGTGCTAAAGAAAAGATTTTCTTTTCGCATCGTGAGGAAGTATTACATCAATTAAAAAATGTTAGGAAGTTGATTACTTGTCATGGAAAAGTATACCAATGGAAATTATTTGTTAAAGAAGTATAATTCTAAGGGTAAATTTTATTATAATTAGTAACCTGTCTATTTTTTATATGTAGATGTTTCAGGTTTTAAGAATAAATTGGTTGAACCCAAAATCTGGAGGAAGTACCTATATCCATACACAGAATATGCCCATTAAGAATACTAGTCCAAATTTGCTTTAATGGTAGGCAATTATTCAATACAAATTAACTTTTTAAGTGACTGAAATATTAAATAGTTTAGAATATGGTATAACAATGTAAAAAAATACTATTTTCAGGAACGATTAGGGCCCGATATATTTGAAACTCATGTTGGACATAGTATTGAGTTGGGTAGAATATTATTCTACGTTAAGTGAGGATATCAGATACCTATTATTGTACTGTATTTTAATATATACATTAGAATTGTTGGTTTTTTCATATTTGTTTTATATATTATTTTACTTACAAGTTATATAAAGTTAACACTAAAATCTACTTTTTGACTTATATAAGTTAGTCTGTGGTTTAATGCGTGATTACATCCACATTATGATTTCAAGTTTTTAAAATATAAATATTATAACTGGCTTTAAAAACTCCATTAAACTGTTAAAAGTGTAATTTATTTCAAAATAAATATACATATACCTATACCTAGGTATATATTAATATCGAAAAATATATATTAATATCGAAAGACATTTTTATTTCCTTAACACCAATTTAATCATCACATACATATGTATAAACATTTATTTACGTTATTTCAAATGAAGACCACAGGAAAAACCAGCTTTGTTCATTTTAACTGGAGCCGAGAAAATGCAATTACAAGTGAACTACTCTGGTTTTTCTCCTGTAGGGCAAAATAACTAAGCTGTAATATCTCTGGGACTAAGCATATTATTATTGCTTTCTTTGATGGTGCCTCGAATAATGCTAACACTTGCCTATAAAATTGTCTCGCTGTCAATTTCTATGTAAATGTAACATATTATCTGGTTTTTTCCGTGTAGTCTTCAAATGATCTAAAAATTCAGCAGGAATGATCCATTATGCAGCAAACACACTGATGTTGAATCATTGGAAGCTTTTTTGTGGGCATTTCACAAATAAAATCAAATGTCTGATCAAAAACTGAAAATGCAAAACAGATAGTAAGCTTTATAAATACATACATATATATAAATAATCATACCTACATCTATTTATGTCGTACAATCCAACCGATATTTTAATATCCTAACCCAAGTAAATAATCAAAAATGCACTTTTTATATCAAAAGCAGTAATGTTACCAAGGGTTCCAATTAATATCCAGGATTTAAAAAAACACGATCCTAATTCTTATTATTTTTCTAAATACGTATTGTCTGATAGGCAATTACAAAATATAAATCTGATGTAAATAGAAAAATAAAGTAAAAACTGTAAAAACAGGTAAAAACTCTTCGGTAAAAACAACAACAAAAATTCTAACCAAAGATTTAACCGTCATACGACATGAGCATCACGTGATTGCACAATACCCAACGATAGGGTACGTACCTCTTTCATCTGATTGGACGGTTGGTTGCGTATTTTAATGTATCCTCTTCAGCACGCTCGTTTCAATGCTGTCTGTGTTTATTAAAGTTTCCTGACGTATTATTTGTTATTTATAGTTGATTAAATGTGTTGAATTGTAGTTTATCGGAAAGGTTCTGTGTTTTTATTATTTAATTGCTAAAACTAGGAAGAATTTATATGGCAAAACAACGTTTGCTGGGTCAGCTAGTAATTATATTTATTTTATTTATAGTATAATTTAATTTATTTATGGCTTTTAGTTGCGATATACAGTTGTTATTTTTTAATATAAATCATTAATATCTGCATATAGCAAATTACACAATTTTTAATCCAGTCTGTTTATTTTCCAACGGTAAAAAGATAAAAGCGGCACTAAATTGCCTGTGATATTGTAATTGACAAGCCGTCGATCTATTTAACGGCCTTTTTCGGATTATATCAACGTGCAGTAAAACATGATTTATATTAAAACGTGAGTACGAATTCATTAATAAAAAATCCCGAAAAGTGTCACTACATATATTTCAAAGGTAGAAAAATGCGGTAGTTTTACAATATAAAATATGAAAGGATATAAAAAGTACTCTGGTTCATATTTCATCATTTTATGTAATTTTAGTGGCATAATTGAAGAATATTATAGGTTCGTTCCAACCAGCATTTCGGGATCGTTTCGAAATCGTACTCGAATCGGTTTTCTTGCACTTTGTTAGCATGCGCGGACTTCGAATAGTTTCGTGACGGTGCAAAAAGTATCAACGTTGGAATGCTTTGTGGATTGTTTTCGCGACTGTCAAAAGTGTCAAGCGTGCGTGTATCGATCGGTTTTTTGTTTTTGTTTAGAATTTCATAACATAATTATTATTTTTAACTAAATAATTTTACTACGCTAACGTAGCCAACAAACAGTTAAAATACCACTTACATAGATTAATACCTTATTTTCAAAAATGGAAAATAAAAATTAATTCCACCAAGACAGAAGAACTTCTACTCTCTTATAAGAGAAGCAACACCACTATACATGAACCACTGACAATTGAAGGTTCAGTCATCCAACCAAAACCTTGTGTCAAATATCTTGGTGTAAAGATTGATAGAAGACTATCCTTTATACTAAACACTACATACAGAATACAACAAACATATGCGACTTTACAAAAACTCTATCCGCTTCTTTCATCCAGATCCCATATGTCAGTAAAAATAAAATACTGTTATATAAGACTATATTACGACCAACCCTAACCTATGCTTATCCAGCCTGGATTAAAATATCCGACAAACAAAGACTAAGACTTTAAAAACTACAAAGTAAGACGTTACGTAAGATTACGGGTAGTGACCGGTATATTCGCCTCACTCGTCTTCACGAAATAACCCGCCTACCAACAGTGAACGAACATATCGATACACTATCACAAAAAATTTACACAACACAAATACATAACTCCCCTCTAACAACAAACATTACACAACAAAGACGACATAATATGACGCCCACAAAACATCCACCAATCTATGCTAGACTACCCGTCTATAATGATATTTAAATAAATAGTACATACAAGTTTAAAACTATTCTATTTTTGATGGTATTATAAGTATTTATATATAGCTTTCACAAAATAGACTGGCATTGACAAATTACAGACAAAAACGACACAAAACATTACAATATTTACAGATAGTTTTATTAAACATACTAGGGTTTTTTTGAGTTTTTTCCTTAGATATAACTGATTGGCTGATTAATTACGACCTATTCTGCTCGAAAACAAGAATGACGGCTTTGCCTTTATACTGAAAATGCATGTGTGAGCACAGGCGGAACGTGCAATCATCGCCTGGTTAATAAAGGGCTAAATAAAGGACACAACAACGGCCCCCTTGTTTACAGGGATCGATTTAGTGGATGAGTGCTCCACCAGGAAAACAACAAGCCACTGTACACTTTATAATTTTGTATATATTGTATATATAGTCTTTTTATTATATTGTAAGAATTAACTACTCAATAAATGATTTGAATTTGAATTTCATTGCTTCGTAAGCGAATGGTCTGTGGTTCAAATCTCACACCGTACCAAAACTTTTTTATATTTTTTTTTATAAAAAAATATAAAAAAAACGCTTATAGCGTGATTTGATTGCATTGGTTTCACTTTTCACTCTTTTTGGTTGGATTGGTTCAGTTATTTGGCGGGCTGGTTAGCGTGGTTATTTGGTGGGTGTTAATTCATTGGCAGTGTTACCAACTCCGGGATTTTATCCCTAAATTTGGGGAGAAAAAATCTATATGGGGATTTTTTTAGGGAGTAAGATTTTTTGGGGATATTTTTAGGGATAAAATTTCAATGGAATACTGCTACTAAAGAGGAGATAAAACCGCTACTGCTATTTTTCAAAATTAATAGGAAAGTATAAATAAAACAAAATAATTTATTTATTTTAATCACCGAATCTTGGATAACAGTTGTGGGGATGTTAGTTGATTTAAGAAGGTTTGATATTGCTTTAATGGAAAGTTTCGAACAGTTGGCTACATTGCTGTGATCAGACGTTTCAAGGTCAACCACTTAAAACACAACAAATTGTTTATTTATTATTATTTATATTTTTAGGGTTTTTTTCGGGATATTTTTTAGGTTTTTAGGGATATTTTAGGGATTTTTGATGCGAGCGTTTTAGATTTTTAGGGAGATAAATTTTTGAGAGTTGGAAACACTGTTCATTGGTTAGTTGGTTATTTGGTGGTGTTGGTTGGTTTTTACCTAATTTAATTTTTTTAGATATTCATTGATTTTCTTTATTTGTTTGTAATTTGTAAGTTTGTATCATTGCTGCATGTGCGCACAAGGCAATAATCATAAAGGACAGAACTTAGTATGGCGCGCGTATCTCCTTGTCGAAAGTGGTGTGATATGGTAGGCGGTGAATCATTGCTTTAAACATGCGCTCAAAACAGTGACAGAGTATTACTACAGGGTGATCTAGGAGGACGTGTCCAACTGAAGTATAATAAGAGCTTTTAACCTACATATAAATACTTTTAAGATTTGGATTTATTTTATTGCATAATTTCAATATAAATAGAGAAGTACATTGCCGTTGAATAAATAAGTACATTGCAAATACTAAAATTATCATAAACAACAACTAAACTGAAAGCTAAATTTTAATCCAATTTTAACGTATTGCTCATTTGAAAATGTATATTTATTATTTTATTTGGCTGTTTGAATGCCCCCATATCAGAACTAATCATTTCTTCTTTTTTATTTTCTTTTATTTTATTTTGCTACTTGAACCCACCTTAAGTTGACAAAATCACATAAACACGCGTACAAACACAGAAACACAAATAAGCTCTTCAACATGAAGAATATGTAGGCATAACCTCACTTTTAAATTGCAAAGATTTTAGTTCGTAAACTAGCCAAGAATCTTGCTATTTTGGGTGACTAAAACTAATGGAGACAAACAAAAATATAAAATTATGACATTATCCAATACGAATATATAGTTTGCAAACTAACCAGCTAGTTTGTAAACTAGCCGTGGGCTGCCTGCTATTTTGCAAGAACGGGCGGATTCTTTCAAAATTACAGCGCTTTTAGTTAGTTCGCAAAATAGCTGGCTAGTTTTAAAACTAGCCAAGTATCCATTTTAGCCATAAAATACGTACCATTTAAAATTATTAGAATTATTTTCTGAGATTCTATAATAAAACTTTATTTCATGTTGTAGACATTTTTTGTTTAAAAACAATACCATTATAATATAGAATAGGAGATAAAAAAAACTATACAAAGAAGGATGAAGAATGTGAATATCAACTAACGTAATTTATTTACTGTTCTTAGTATTTATCGTGAAAATCACTCTAAAAATCGACGGGTGATAACACTCGCCAGCTGTATCCTTCCGGTGCAGGCGATCATCAAAGGAAACCGACCGGAAATTTAGTTAAGACCGAACCGGCAATGACATCAGATAAACCCTTCTCGTCCCTCTTGCTCCCGGGATAAATGTATTCAATTAGAAAAGCTAGGTCATGTTACGGAGAACATAATTGTAACGAAATTGTTTACAGTTAATACATTTAATATATGAGATATTCTGCAGTACACACAAAAAGATAATTTAGTTGTTAAAGTAAGTGTAACTCAATTAATAAATAGTTATAATTAGAAAATATGTACTCTAGGTATATCATATATTATTCGTTTACAAATACTAAAGCCCGATTTACACGATCCAAGGGTACTTTGCTCAAATTCGGAGTCAAATTCACCTTGATGCTGCGCGCGTTTCACGTGGACCCCACTTGGATCAACCGAATTTAAATCAGTTGGTTCGATCCGAACAGCATCCAAGTGAGACGCGCGCAGCGTCAAAGTGAATTTGATCAAAGTACACTTGGATCGTGTCAACCGGGCTTAATTAACATGTACTATACAGGGTGCTACAAATTCGCGGTACGAGCATTGATATCCCGGTAGCCGTAATAGATCCGAACATGCTTAATTTAGGGTAAAGTTGCGCTTTAAGATATTCATCAAGTTGCCATCAAAAAAGTTTTAAAAATTTCAAGGATTGCTGAGTTGTTTGGTTTGGTTTGGTTGTATTTTTATGAAAATCAATTTTATTTTTTTCTGGTGTTACTTTTTAGAAAATTAAAAAACTAATTGCACGTTTTCATAGCCACTTTATTAGGGCTATCTGATATTATTTTTAGATTTTCAAGTTAACTGATAATTTGTGAGATACAGAGGCCAACTTAATTTCCCTACCTTTCATTACCTGAGGTCATTTGTAAAAGTGAAATCAATACATTTCAACATTTACAATAGAGAGTACAAAATGCATTGGGAAGTAAGTTAAGAAGAAGATACGTTCAAAGAGCTATAAATAAGATTGAACGAAAAATAAATTTGTGCATTAGAGAGGGCGGTAACTCTTTCGAACATGTAGAACATTAGAAACTAGTTTGTAGAAGTTGATTTATTTATAAAAACTATGATTAATATTATGCATATTATTAGATCGTACACTGAGACTTCAAATTCACAACAAAAGTTAAAAATAAAATCTTTAAATTGCTGACCTGGATATTATTTGTTTGAATCTTTCAATCGGCTTGATTTTCCTTATTTAATGTTAATTAGCGCTGATCAATATTATTGCGATGAA